TTCTTGGGTCATAATATTCACAAAGGAACTATAATTCCTATTGACCGAAGCATTGAGTTTGCTTCTAAGTTTCCAGACATAATCATTGACACCAAAAAATTACAAAGGTTTCTTGGTGCATTGAATTATGTAGCAGATTATTATCATAATCTTACACACGACACTGTCATTTTATATAGCAGATTCAAAAAGAATGCTTCCCCTTGGACAGATCAACACACTGTCGCTGTCTGTAAAATTAAATTAAATGTTAAAAGGCTACTAGGTGCACATCTAGCTTATACACAATGGTTTAAAATTGTTAAAACTGATGCGCCAAACATTGGTTATGGAGGTATCCTCAAACAAATTGATCCCATTACTAACAAAGAGCAACCAGTTAGATTTGCCTTTGGTAAATAGGATTCAGCCCAACTTAATTACTCCACAATTAAAAAGGAAATGTTGGCTATCATAAAATGTTTTTACAAATTTCGAGATGATATTCTCAATCAGTAATTTCTATTAAAAATAGATTGCAGTTCTGTTAAAACAGTCTTAGAAAAAAATGTTAAAAATCTTGTTTCTAAGAAGATTTTTGCCAGATGGCAAGCCAAACTGACAATGTATCAATTTAAAATTAATTATATACGCGGACAAGATAATTATTTGCCTGATTTCCTAACACGAGAATTTTTACAGTACCCATGTGCCGCAATAACTCCTTCCAAGGGGGAGGAGGAAGGAATGGAGGCAACAACAATAGAAGGAGTTATACTCCGACTCACCCAAACTCATGGAGATCTATCTCAAAAAAAGGAAATACTAGTGTCCCTTCATCATCATCTTCTAAAGGGATAGAAGACTTAATTGCAAATGAGAATATACCTGAACCATTCTCTGCCATAGTCAAGAAAGAAGTAGAGTGGTGTACTAAAACCGTCTCTGACACTGTTTTTCATATAGAACAAGAGGACATTCCTCTTATGAAAGATGTCGACAAATTAAGACAAAAATACTTAGATTCAACGTACTACCCTACATCGTCTCTTAAACCTAGAGCATGGATGAAGACAATACTCATCTAAAGAGGTATGAAAATCGCACATTTTTGGAGTAATGAAAATCATATTGTTCCTCCAAACTTTAGTAAATGTGTAATCAAAGAAGTCATACTTCACATGGATTGGATAATGAGTACTAACCAGGAATTTCCTCTAGTTAAAACTCCAAGCAAAATAATTTACAATTTTAATTACTGGGATTACCAATCAGCATTTTATCAACTGTTCCTCTACCAAAATCCCAGGAACAAACATACATGGCTAATTAAATTATGTCTAGATGCCATTTATAAAGGCCTACCCACCTGGTTCTATAATTGGTGGTCTAAATATGATGCAGATCTTAATATAGTACCCGAACCCATATTAGGGTTATATACCCCTTGGGTTGACTCTCACCCAATCATCCAAAAGATGGGCGAAAATCAAATTCTCCAAGGTTTATGCTCAGTATATTTCTTCACTGAGACAAAAATCTCATAGATTTGGAGTTGGTCCTTAGAAGCGACATGGGATGAACTTCACCTACCATCTCTTCTAAGAAAATATCCGAGCAGATGGTGGACGAGTATCAACGTCCAAGACAAAGTAAAACAGATAGAAGAAATTATTAAAAGAAATAATAAGATCCTTGATAATACTTTAACCCAGGAAATTCAAAATGAAAACCCTATGGTCAAACTAGCAAAAACAATGAAATAAAAATACCCTCAAGCTACAGAGGCTGAAATTCAACAAAAATGCCTTGAGTATATGAAAAAATAATTCTTCGAGGTATTTGACAATAGTGATACTATGTCAACAAAAAGTACTCAAGGGATAGATATATCCCTACCAGACGCGCATGATCCTTATGAGGAAACTACAGAAGAAATGTTGGAAGCAGCCATGGGAATTCCCACAGATGTAAAGGGTAAAGATATTGAATAGTTAAAATATCACTTACCTACAGTTATACAGACATCTTTACTAAAGTTATAGCTTTACTTCTTTTTCAATCATATTGATTAGAAACAGCCAAGCTGTCGCCTAAGAGATAGATCAAAGAAAAGTGATTCGGTGCGCGATGGGGCCCACAGCGTACCCGACACCTTATCCTTTATTTTGAGCTGAGCCTCGGGGAGCCGCTTTTAGTGCTAAATAACGCATGCAGTGACGTAAGATTCCACCAAAAGGCAATAAGCACCAGAAGCGTTGGCAATAATGCGTTTACTTTATCTCTTCTCTAACCAGATGTCCAAAGGCAATCAATAAAAAGATTCCTTTCTTAGCCATAAATAAGGGAGAAGACTTCATAGTTCGGTGTGCTCAATCTTCTTAGATACTTTGCCTTCTTTTTCTTCTCTTGCTTTCTTTTTGTAAAAGTTAGCCCACCTAAGGCTTTTTAAAAAAAAAGTTGATGAAATAAACTGGAGAAATCAGAAGTTCTATTAGAAATAGCAGGCTTCAAACTGTAAGTCATATTATCTTACTACCTTTTTACTTGGTGTTTTATTTTTTCTATTGGTAAATCAAAATTGGTATCAGAACCATGATTGGCTAAGTTTTTTCTTGCGGAGATAGTTATGTAAATCTGATAAGTTCCCGATGTATCAGCATATGAGGAGGGCTCATAAGCTCAGAGTCTTCAGGCCAACACATACTATAGATATATTACAGAGAGATGTACATTATAAGCTCATTTGGACTAGTAGCAAACCACTGGAGGTTTGCAATGCATATGTGCCTGGGAGGGGCCTATATTGATGAACCTGAACCCTATGAGGAACATGTTGTTTTAGGTGTTAAAATTTTGTATATAAATTGAGGCACACAGATTTGGCAGGCTATTCGTATAATTCTTTGGTGTCAATGCACTCTACTAAGCTACAGCTGGGCTTTCCTGGAGGAATTTTTGAAAGAAAATCTTCAGAATTAATCACATGATTGAAAACACATATATTTTTACATCATGGTTGAAGTTAGTCTACTATATTTCTTGGTAGTACTTGTTTTAAATGAATCATTAACAAAAGTTCATTAGTAAGTTAGATACATCTTTGATGGGGCACAAACATAGGATGCACACACTAGATGCAGCTTTGCATAGATCAAAAGCATTTTTGGTGGACTGAACCAAAGGATATATGAAACATGGATGGAAATTCTAAACCATGAACTGTTTTTTAAGCCAATAACAAAAACAATTGTCAGTTTTATGGTTGTCTAAATGGACCACAATAATAAGATATTGGGGAAAATTGAGTTCATATTCTCCATGTCAAATATGATTTTTTACTCCTCCCTCTGCTTAATTCAGTTTTACATTTTTTTAAACATTTCATCTGTTTATGGATCGGGCGCTTCATCTAATACTTTCATCCTCATATAAGTAATATTAATTGTGCGGTAATATTGTTGATTCATAATAATGTTACTAATTTCAAGACACTGTTTGCTTTCTTGGGTGTTAATCTTTCTTGCAATGATCTATTCTTTTTTAGATGATTGCATTGTCATTATATGTTATTTTTTTATTTTCATGCTGCTATTTTAGCTCTCAAACTTATGGCCGAGAATGTCTAAAAGTGGGATATATAGCTTCTGTTAGAAGGACTGAGAGTAACAGCCCTGTACTGCACTGCACAACCAAATCTCGGCGTGTGAAAATATGTTATGAAAAATAGAGGTGAAGTATAGACTAAAGTTCATTAAAATACAAGTCATTAAAATACAATTACAATCATTAGGAATGCTTTTTTACTACTGTTCCCTGTTGGACTGTGTTCTTGACTAAAAATTAACTAGTAGCAGATGTGTCTTTATGTGAGATTAGGAATGGGTGCCAGCCAAAACACTCTGGAAATTCTAGAGCCTGTTTGGGTAATATTTACTTCAGAAGAATATCTCAAACATGATGCTGTTAAGACATAGTAGCCCTTTTTATTTAAACAGTCATCGCAAACCCCTTTTTTTTGTTGGTTTACTTATCTGAAAATCATTCCAAAACGGTTTACGAGTGTTCTAGTAATGAATAGACTGGCCAGGGACCATCTCATAGATGCCACATCATATATTTTTTGTTGATTACATTATGTTTTGATATGCATTCTTTGTTGCTTCAAGCAAGCTACTGTTATCATTCGTGTTTTTCATCATATACTTTTGGAATATGCTTATTATGTTCAATTGCTAATAATATTCTTTTTGGGTTCTTTTCTTTTCAGGGAACCACCCCTACCTTAGGTCCTATTTTTACCATCCCTAATTATTGAATTTTTAGAAAACCACCCCATATCTACCAATTCATTAACATGAACCACCCATACACTTTTCCATCCAATTTTCCATCAAAATTTTTTAATAGTTTGACGGTTTTACTCCTACATAGGTTTAATTTTGTTGAACTTTGGTATTAAAGTTAAATACCCCAAATTATTTTCCATTTTAACTTTGATGCCGTTAATTTTTTTGCCCAAAAATACCTCAAGAGTCCACTTCATTTTTCCTTTGTTACCTCAAAGTTTTTTTGCCCAAAAAATGCCTCAAAGTTCAACAAAATTTAACTATGTTACTCTGAAGTTCAACAAAATTTAATCTTGATGTCTTATATTTCACTAAAATTTAATTTTGATGTCCAAAGTTCAAAAAAAAAAAAAAAAGCTTTGATACTCAAAAGTTCAACAAAATTTAGCTTTAATACCCAAAGTTCAACAAACTAAGCCTATGTGGGGGTAAAACCATCAAATCATAATTTTTTGGATGGAAAATTGGATGGAAAAGTGCGTGTGTAGTTCTATGTTAATGGAACGATAGATAAGGGTTGTTTCCTGAAACTTGAGTAATTAAGGGCGGTAACGTGAATAGGGCTTAAATTAGACGTGGTTTTCTGGAAAGAAAGAAAAAAAACAGCTTCTTTTTTTATGTATATATCAAACTTGGGTTGTTCTAATAAATAATGCCCCAACTCTTTCTTAGCAGGCTGCACAACAAGAAAGAACTACATTTATTTCTTCTCTGCTGCCTCTTCTTACGGAATATAATCTTCAACCTTCTGTACTTGATGCTCAATCAATTGTTAGTAATTTGAAGGTTTGTAGACTGTTTCTTTTTGTTACAATAGTGGAGAACTGCTCCCATGACTAGTAAATAATCATTGCATAGAGGCGCATGCCTTTTTGATAAGTTTTCAAGTTGATTAAGTGAGATATCTGTAGTTTACCTTCATTCAAACCACATGTATTATAGGGTTAACCACGTCCATTTAGCTATTCTGTTGCTGAATAACCAATACTTTATTCAAAAGTAAGTTTGAAGCTTGTTGTTATTTTGATGCATAATGAATCCCATGATGCTTCGCCGGACTGCCTTCTTGTTCTGAGAAGTTAGCAGTAAGTTTTGAAAGTTGATTTTTTTCCTTTTCTTGATGAGTAGTATTTTGGCTGAAATAAAGCTTCTTGTAAAAGAGATTGCAGTTTGGAATCCTAAACCTTGCATTAAGTTGTAACATTCCTCCCTAAGAATATTTTGTTCGATGCTTTGGTCTTAAGGGGAATATGAGATTCTGTACTGCATGTTTTAGCATCAACAACGAATTCATTCAGAAAGCCTATACAAGATACTGTGTTATATGTAAGATTAAGCTGAGAGTTTTACTGCTTATGTTGGCGGGGGATTTCTATATCCCGGAGTTCTTCCTTTAGTGATGCAACATGAGATATTTTTCAAGCGAGGTGCCTGTGTGTGATAAATGTTTCTGGTTCAACATGCCGGGGTGCCTGATAACATGCCTCCTGATAAGCATTAAGTATTTCGGGGTCTGGGTGTCTGAGCTTCGTAGTTTGTTATTTGATTCCTACTCCTTTAATGTACCTTTTTCCTTTACTAAAATTTTGTAGAGCTTTCAGTAGTATGGAACATTATAGTTAAAAGCATGCACTTCTGCTGTGGTGGAATTGGTGTATGGAGTTGCTTTGGTTTATTCTAAATGAATTTGGTTTGAGTAAAAAATGAGCTAAATATGATCTTTTGTCCTGGAATGAAAAAGCAGTAGTATCATATTTTTTCCCTCAAATGCAGATAATTGTTTGAGATGATTTCATCGTGTACAACAGAGGCCAATAAATGAACCAAATAAGTGGTAATATTATTATTAATGGAGAAAGGACTAGAGATAGGCCTGAGGGAACTTGGTTAGAAACTTTTAAGAGGGGTATAACAATGATTAATTTAGTGGCAACAGGAAAAGTGGAAGAGTAGGATTCATGTAGCTAAACCAAAAAAATTGGGATAAAGGCTTTGTTGTTGTTGTAGATGATTGTTCTCCTTCCTACTGATGTGCTGCAGTCAGGAATAGCTACTTACTTGAACTTTGTGTTACTTCATGCTATGTTGACTTCTGGCAATGTCAACTGCAATCTGTTAGAGTAAGTGCATGCATTCCATTGGCTGTCAGTTTGATTTTGTAGATTTGGATGTCAAATTTGGTCTATTTAATTTTTTGAAAACTATCTTCAGGAGGTTTGTAGGTGTTAGCCTATGTTTAACAATATTTGATATTCTCTTGCAGGTTTTGTTTACACATCTGCAGGAAAAGCTCATTCTTACTGAGGTATGTTATCCAATAATGATACAATGGACCAAATGCGTAATTCAAATGTAAATATCTGATGGACATTGATGTTTACAAGTCTTTGGACTGATGTTATTTTGTTCAATTGATGATAACTGTATTTTTATTCCAAGGATAAATAAATATTGTTGTCCTCAAACTTGGGTTGTTGCAGGATAAATTGAAAGAATCTCAGTATCAGTTAGCTCCATGGCATGCAGAACCATCAAATGCAGGCTTTCCTCCACAATCCCCTTCTCATTCTCTTGGTGCAGCACTTGCAAATTCTGTATGATCATAAAGCTTATGTTCTGTTTTTTAAAAATAACAATTGTATCCCTAATATTTTATATTCTTTCAGAACAAAAGCCTTGAGATTGTTCCCCAGCCTGCATATTCTCACACACAGTCTCCAGTTTCTTCTCCATCAAATGCTCGGACAAAACTCGAATGGGAGGCTTTAGGCAGCCAAAACCATAACCCTGGACCCAGCGGCTTTGCTTCTAAGAATACAAACCAAGATGTTCTGGAAAGAATGTCTCCTTCTCTAAGCAGGTAATTCTGGATGACTGGGATCATATTTAAGACTTATTATTGTCCAGCCATCTGCTTATGCTACTTTTATATTTGTGGATAACCGAGCCAGTAATTTTTTCCTTTAGTGTTTTCTTCATAACTCTTAGTTATCCTCTCTTCCCCCTATCGGCAAACTGTGCTACTAACCTTATATTCTTAGGTTCTGGAGGCATTCATGGCTAGATCCGTGACAAGTGTGTGTGTGTGTGTTTTTTTTAATAAATTTCCCTGCCTGGAAATTTAGGGAAATTTATAGAGGTGTAAGCAGAGAATTCTCTCTAATTTTCCATGAGACCTTGTGCTCCACAAGAGATTCCAATTGATGGGAAAAGATATGCTGCTGTGCTGATGATCATAGATTTACTTGATGGGAAAAGCTATGCTCCACAAGAGATTCCAATTGATGGGATACAAATTCAGATTGATACAGTAAAGAAATATATGCTAGTTATTTGCGTAAAAACAAAGGTAACCTTAACAAAGTTGAATGCCGGGAGAAGATTCATGTGCTGGCCAAATATTTGGGATTAAGGATATGTTGATGATGGCATAATCTTCTTCATTATTCGATGGAAGATCAAGAGGAAAGGAGGTTAAAGGCCAGAAAGAATGTGTCCTTTGTTAGAGCATGAAATTGTGACCCTGAGCCCCCAATACAAATTGGGAGTTTTGGTGTTGTGGAAGAGACTTTAAGATGGTAAAAAAACACTCCAGGTTCATATCCCACCGGATATACATTAACAACAAATCATAAAGTGGATTTTAAGAAAAAAGGCCGGAAAGCAGCTCATATTTTTGTTTATGAAGAAGGCATTCAACTTGCAAGGACATGTTAGAGTATACAATTATAACCCTCAACCCTCACTACTACTTTAGAATTTTGGTTTAGTGGAAGGGATTTTGATATCCTTAATCTTGTTGAACAACTGTTGGACTTATGATTTGAAGACATGGACGCAACCTATGAACTGTAGACATGGATTTAGGTATTGCCGTATTGGACATGATAATTCTCAAGAATCCAGAAAGAATGTGGCTGTATGTTACCTGTGGAGTGTCTAGATATATATTAAACATTTATAGCTGTATACATTGTGTTATTATTTTATTCAACATTTATTGCCGTATTGGACATGATAATTCTCAGGAAATTCCCTTTGAAAGCTATTACTTTTTGCCAAAATTTGGGAACAATTTAATCTTATATACATGTTGGCATGAATAAAGCTTTGCACAATTTATTTTACATGTAGATGAACATGCCAATTTTAGGAGAAAGGAAGGCCCAGCATATTATACTGGTCAACTATTATCAATCTATAGGCTGGTTAATACCTCCCACATATGAAGTTTGTGTTTCAACTTTTGGGAATACATGCATATAAAATAAATACCTTGACCAATTATTGTTAATTTCCCACTCCACACTACACTTTTGTAATTGATGTTTAAATGTGTAATCGATGGTTATGGTGTAGCCAGAGATGTCATGAGGTTATTCTTGGGTTTGAGGAGTATAAAAAGGCCGTAAGTTCTTGGGGAATATTATTTTGTTGATACCCAGAGAGGGTAATGGTGTTCATAATGCCTTATTGGTATTTTAGAGCTTAGGTTTCTCTCTTGTACTCCATGTGATATTGTAATTTTCTCAATGCTCTTCCTTGGGATGTAAGCCTATTTGTTAGATCATGTGTTCCTGTATAACTAGTATATGTGTTGTTTCGTCATCCTTGATATTTCTGGAAAATGTTGGATTTTTTTATCCAGTTATGTGTAAAGTCACTCTTCCCATATTGAAGCATCTTAAAACTAACAAGTACAAAGATCAGGGCTTTGCGATCTTGGTACTGAGTGTTACCATTTGACAAGTTTTATCAAAGTCCACTGTCTATTTGATTTGACTTCATACGACTTGAATCCTGCAAAAGTTGGTAATTACTTTAATCCACCTGTTACATTGAATATAAAGATATCTGCTGTCTTTTCAGGAACACCATGGCAGACGATACGTCAGCTAAAACCATAGGTTATTCTTCAGCTCAAGTAACTCAAGGCGATTCCCATGTTCCACAGTTCAATGTTGAGTTTAAAGACCACCGAAATCCATCATTCAAGGACATTGTTAGAGGAAAGGAAATCGATGATCCCGAGACAACTGGACTACAGCATGGAAGAGACGGTACTGTCCACTGGGGACCTGCAGCCTCTCCTTATTTGTCATCTGGACTTGACGATCCAAATTCCTCGTACCCATATCTTCCACCAGTCCTTGAGGAGCCTAGTTCTTCATTTTCTGAAGGTTTTGACTTGCTAGTAAAGTTCCATTCTATTTCAGGGATCCTTATCAGGGACTTTTGTCCATTGTTTCATTTCTGTTTTTTCGCATATTCGTAACTCTGCAATATGTGCAGCTGCAGAAGACGAACTTTTGCCAGCAATAGAAGGACTTCAAATTTCAGGAGAAGCTTTTCCAGGAAAAGAACTTACAGCATGTGGGTATTCCATCAATGGGACTACCAGTTGTAATTTTGAGGTATATTTGTATTAGAATTAACGTGAGTTAAGCATGCTTTTTCGCTCAAATTAATCTCATATTCACTTTCTTTTCTTGAACATCAGTTCCTTCATTTATTAAATGATTTATTTGGAAACTAGATTCACGTCAGTTTCTCTCTAATCCTTGCAGTTGTTAAGTTATTTGTTTCTTGTCATTGCAGTGGGTACGCTATCTAGAAGATGGTTCTGTGAATTATATCGAGGGTATTACTTTTTTCTTCCCCTTCTTCGTTAGTCTTCATAACCAGTTGCTATTTCTTCTTTGGGCCTGAAACTTAATTAATTTTTGCAATCATTTTTTCTGTATATTTCTGCAAATTTGGTGCTTATTTTCATTTAACTTAACAGGAGCTAAGCAACCCAAATATCTGATTACCGCTGATGATGTTGAAACCTACCTTGCAATTGAAGTTCATCCCCTGGATGACAGGAAACGAAAGGTTTACTAATCTTTCCTGTTTAAATTGATAATTCTTAGTGACTAAATTTTTTTATACAGGGTAGTTCTTCATATTTTAAGCGTCATACATGTTCGAAGTGATGCTTATACTTTAATACCTGAACAATTAATTATCATCTTGTATGAGATGGAATTTACTTAACATAAGGGTGGCCATTGTTAGAGCTGTTTTAAAATAAAATAATGTACTTGACCTAAAACTTTGGGTGAAGGGCGGGATCAAGTAGCATGCTCAATATATGAATAATGTATCTACATCTTGTACAAGATGGTAATACTGCTTGCTTAACTTAGGAATGACCCAGGGCAGAACTGAATTAGGAAAAGGAATGTAGCTGACCCGAAGTTTAGATAAAACTTGTGTTATTTTTTCTTGTTGTATGAAAATGAAAGTAAATAATTATACTCAAGACCTTTAGATTTAAACTCATGGTATTAGAGTTCCCTTCTCATTGTACCCATCAAAGTTGGTTATATCTGTTGACTGCATTACGAATTTAGAGAGAGGGCACCGGGAGCGAGGCAAATATATCCTAAATAATAAATAATGAATGAATGCTTGAAGAAGTAATGTGATTATGTGATTATTGAGTGTTTCTTTTGGATGCTTTAACAATTATGGTTTTCCTGTAATTGCAGGGTGAGCTTGTAAAGGTATTTGCCAATGAGCAAAGGAAGATAACTTGCGGTGAGATACATGATTGTTTATCTCATTTATCTAGTCAGATATTTTGGAATAGTTGAGGTTTCTTTTATTATAATCAGGCATACACTCTTTTTTTCTCATGCGAAAATAATCTTTTTTCGTCTTATTAAGAGTAATCTCTGGGAATTTGTTTTTGCATTACTGGCAAGTAATTTTTGGAGAAATTTACTATATATAAAATTAGTTAAATTCGATATTGAGGAACTTAAACTGGCTAACACAAGGAGATATCTTTATCCTCCCTTCTGCTCACAGCATTACCTCATTCAATGTTGTTGTCCTCCCCCTATTTTCTATTTCCAACTGTGCTCTTCCAGCAGATTCAGGGAAGAAATAGAAAATGGAAAATAAGTGAATATTAGGATTTGCTGTAGAGAGTGGAGGAGAGACGGAAAACTGCTTTTAATTTCCCAGGTTCCTAAGATCTTATGACGCCCGAGCTTTTGAAGCTCTATATGTTTTCAGTCATTTCCATCCTTTTACTTGTAATCCCAATATTTCTTTCAAAAATCAAGCATAATGTATGACTCTGGTCCCACAGCACATAGAAAATTTTCTTTGCATCCTCAAGGCAATATGGAGTGCACTTAAGATTTACTTGGTTTTGGAAGATAAAATGGAATAATGACATACAAAAACAGTAACAGGCTGTTGGTTGACTATTCAGATTTCAGATTGACATAGAAAATTTTCTTTGCATCCTCAAGGCAATATGGAGTGCACTTAAGATTTACTTGGTTTTGGAAGATAAAATGGAATAATGACATACAAAAACAGTAACAGGCTGTTGGTTGACTATTCAGATTTCAGATTGTGCCAAATCAACAAGTACACTTTATATAACTTAGATTACGTTGGATATTTACATCCTTAGTAACTTCTGTAAAAATCTAGGGTAGATTTTTTATGACCACCTTTACTATAACAGCTACTTGCAGATAACAAGGATCATCACCCTTTAGTTTGGTGTTTACCTCATGATCAAGGAAAATTTTTCATCCTAGGGAATAATGTAATGATCGTGAGACTCATCTAAACCCTGAATTTCCAGAAAGGAATGCGTTTATACAGCTTAGAATACTAGCCATCCTCAATTACCATAAAAGCCATTAATTAAGGTTTAAAATCTCGTTATGGTGTCTGTATTGGATCCCTCTTTGAGGTCTCGATATTAGTACTTTCAACTGCTTCAGCCTTTTGGATCAGGAATATCAGAATTTGGTGATTTAAAGCTTCAATTAAAAAAAATATTAGAGAATTTCCTTAAAATAAAATAATTATTTGGAGGAATGATGAGATGCTTGTTTCCTAAAATAATTATTTGAGGGAATGATGAGATGCTTGTTTCCGTAAGTGATGAAGTTCAGATTTTCATACCTTAATATAAGCAGGCAACAACTAATGTCGCTGGGCTGTTAAAAAATGTGAAACTAAATCTCTATGGTTGAATATTTAAATCACGAACTTCCCAAGTGGTCCTAAAGTTTCAAGCTGTTTTGTTTCCTGCAGAATATTATGGTCTTTTAAATGGCTTTGAAAGTGAGAAAATTGAAAACTTAAGCAAGTAAATATTCTAAAGTCATATCCCTGAAGGAGAAAAAAAATCTGTAGAGTGATATTAGTGAATACTAATCTTAAAAAGTTAAAATAGTTAAACAAAATTTTAATTCTAACCATTAATTATTAGTAAACTTTTTTGCTATAGAGTTGCACCTTATTCATGATAACTAGTTCTATTAACATAGTAGAGTTTTCTTCGAAAAGATTTGGAAGTTGACTTTAGCTGATATTCTGAAGAATTTTATTTCAATAAGTATTTTAATAAATTTAGCTCTTTTGCATGTAATTTTTAAATAATTAGGCAATGCTAATTGAGGATAGGTCTAAGAACTGGTGGTGATCAACCATAGGTCTCTAAGCCTCTTTTGCTTTTCTTTCATGTTAGTTTGCAATTAAACATGAATTAGTGATTTAGGACATTGTCTGCTCTTGAAGATGAATTTCTGATTTGGGATATACCAGATGAAGATGATTTAGGTTTCCAGGAAACTAGGTTAGCCCTAATTTGTTAAGTCATGCACCTTGATAATCATGTAATGGCAAATCACTTAGAAACACACATTAATCCAATTAAAGGTGATTAATCAATTAGGGCAAGGCCTCTTTAGAGAAGTTATTTTCTTCAATTAGGACCCAAGTAGAATTGCTATTGAACATTGAGCATGCAATTAATAACGATCAGCTAGAATAGAAATCTAATTGGCATGATTCCATGCTTCTAAATAGATGTATGATGTATCTCCTAATAAGTACTTTCTTTATAAGACAAGTTTCACAAAACTGCAATGAATTTGGGTGTTTTACACAACATAGCGTCATTTTTTTATTAGAGAAAACTATCATGAGTTGTCAAATACTTCAAGGAGAAAAAATACAATGAATTATCTGGAACTGTTGCTAGTGGAGTTAACGTCTTGGATAAAATATGTAAATTATCCTTATTTATATCTACTAATCCACAAAGTTCACAAGGATAACATTGAAAGGATTCAATTTCTTCAAACTTAAAAAAATAATAATTAAGCTAGAATAAACATAAAATAATAAAGTCCAAAAAGTAGATACAACTAAGAAATACAAGGCTTGAAAGTAAGGGTGCTCAAAAATATGTGTATCCAAGGAAATATTCGTATATAAATATGTTTACTAAAATCAATAACCAATAAGATATGGTCACGGATATGATTATGTAGTGAAATATTCGGATACTCAAAATATCCGAATACATATTCGTCATATTGTTGCAACAATTTTAATCTTTAGATTAATGGATTAAAGTTAATTGTGATGATCAGGATATCTAATCTTAGCTTTTCAGATATAACGAACATATTGATGAACTCTCTTGTATCATATGAAATATATATATATATATATATATAATATATATATATATATATTATATTAGAGCGAGAAACGAGAGAGAGAGAGAGAGAGAGAGAGAGAAATGGAGAACAGCATTTGTACCAAGCTACTTGGTAGTGAGGTGGCGGAATCTTGTCCATAACACACCATTGAAGATAGAGCCTCAAGTACACTTCACCAATTCCAAATGTAGATGTAATGGACCAAGAATTCCGCACTCACTGACCAAGCTCTTGGTAGCCAATTTGCTTCCATTTTTCTCGATATATATATATATATATATATATATATGAGAAATATGGGTATGCTTGGTACCAAGCACAAATTTTGTGCTTGGTAGTGATGTGTCACATCCCCATCCACTTCTTACTCATGTGAATGTGGTCCCAAATTTAAATGAGTGGAGGAGGATGTGACACCTCACTACGAAGCATACCCATATTTCTCTCTCTCTCTCTCTATATATATATATATAAAATCTTTTTTCTCGTATCCGATTTTAGCGCATTTTGATATGAATTTTTCTTACCTAGGCAAAGCCATTTCCGTGATTGGTAAGCAGATACGGATATGGTAAATATCATATCCGAGCCGTATTCGGGCCGTATGCACCCCTACCTGAGAAGATATGTACCTACAACCCACACAAAATTATTAACACTAGCCCATGCTTTGCACACGGCATTAATACTAGTATGGCTAATTGTCCAAAGCATGTCACATGTTTTACAGCTGAAGGCATGGTATTTTATGGAGAAAAGCTCATGGTAGTTTTCTCTAATAATACAATATTATGGTAGTTTTGTGCAGAACACCCCAAAGTGATGGTAGTTTAATGAAATTCACCCTTCTAACTAGGCGTATATACTCAATAAATTGAGTAATGTATCCTGTTCTCCTTATAGACTCAATAAGTTGCTCTAGGTGCCTACTTAAATTTTATTAGCCAGTTTTGACAAGTATCTGTTCCAAAATAGGCCAAAGCATATTGTTCTAGCTTGGTTGGTTCAATTGTAGAGGGGTGTTATTGTGGAAAGGTCAATATCCTGACTGCTATGGCCAATGCATATCAGTACCCATTTTAAAACCTTGCTATTACTTAAATGAACGTACTTCGACCCATACTTGCCTCCCCAGGGAATTTATTCAAATATATAGTTATGTCTAAGTTTAAGACTATTCTAATATACATAAAAAAAATATCCCGCAGTTTTCATTTAATATTTTAAGTTTCATAATAGCACATAATTAAGAGTTAAAAGTTGATTTATATGGAGACCATGCACACACATATGCTAATATGTTATAATTAGTTTAAGTCTGCATATATGCCAAAAATCTAAGGGAAATTGCAAACGTGCTTCTGAAAACAGTAAAACAAACTGAAGGCAGGTTCGTCTAAATCAAACAATGAAAATTGGGAAGATTATGAAAGAGGTTTGCTCAAGCCTTATGCTTAAAGATCTAACTTCCTGGAGTATGAAGCTTTGTCCACCTTTAAACTGGGGGATCTTGGGCCCTATCATGGAAAGAATGAAGACTTGAACTTGAGAATGAGTTCTCGCACTTGAGAATGAGTTCTCGCCAATTGGGACTGAAGAAAATGGCTTTTTGGCTAAGCCACTTTAAAGGCCAAAATAATGATCTCCTTTCTGTAATTTGCTTTGGAGCACTATTCATTAGTTTTGGTTATCGTGTTTTTAAGTAGTTGAGACTAGTTGAGTCTTTAGGGAGCTGCATCTTTTAAAAGTTGTGTAGACTTTAAAGGGTGAAAGAAAATTTCTTTCAGGAAGATGAATAGGAAAGTGAAAAATACTTGAGGACTTCAAGAAATGTGTTAACGAAGTATGTAAGCTTCGTATAAGATACTTATATTTACCCTCTTTAGTTCATGAATAATAATGGTTTTTTTTAGTGTTTCTCTTCAAATCATTTCTTGAATGGGGATTCCTTCTTCTTCTTTTCCTACTTAAGGTCTTTCTTCCTTTCCTGCTCATCGCTTCCACCTTCATATAAATTTTCATTGCGTGTGTTTTCCTTCCTGACAATTTGCTTTGTGGTCAATGCTTCTGCTTTTAGCAATCAATTAATATTGCGCACCTAAAATCCATCCATCTATTGTTACCTTTAGAGGTAAATATTACTTACTTAGTAAAGGTGTTTTGAGACTTGTTTTTTGGCTTATTGACAGACAACTCTCAAATCATCATCTTATAAGCCTTTCCTTGTTAGATGAGGTCCCCTGTTGCGCGAACTTTGTTTGTATTTGGGGAATATAGGAATTAGATGGAATCTATTTTGTTGGCATTCTACTTCATTTTCAAGAACTAAAGGAGCTTGATTACATCCCCTAGGTGTTGTTTATGTGCAACTTGGTGCATCAACCATAGAAGAGGCTGTACTTATTTTGTTCTACCCATGTAGTACGCCTACTCATTATATCTTTGACCTGAGCATAAGTGACCTACAGTTGAAGAACAAATTCCTGAGGCTTATGACATTTCCTTGAGTGATTTTTAACCTGAACAAGTAACAACAAGGAGCCTTCATCCCAAATTTTCAGGCTGGCTACATAAATTCTTGTTCTCCATTTATCTCTTTTGAGGGTCCTCTCCTTCAAATTAAGATATAACTTTTAACTATGAACGAGCTTGTAACCAACATTTTCCACATGCTAACACCATCTTGATCAGTCCTCTCTTTGTAACCTCACTTTAAGCAACATCTTCATACGGTTACAGTCCTTTGTTACATTTATCTTATTAATGGCATGAGAGGGTCATACTTAATGTGTATGCTCGTGGTGAGATTTGCCAAGTCTTATATCATTCTATCATGCTCTTCCTCATGTAACTCCTTGAATTGGTGAAATTCCACTCAGGGAGTCAGAGGACACTACACAAGAGGAGCCCTTTGTTAAAGTCCAGAAGGTTAATTCTTTCTGCTGGAAACATACACTATATAATTTAGGGTTATATAATTTAGGGTTAATTGCAGATAGACCCCTGTACTATTGCCAAATTGAACTTATTGCCCCTCTAGCTCTATTGTTGCAGGTAGACCCCCTGAAAGAGTATTGTTCAGATATCACCCGAATGAAAATCTATTGTTGCAGATAGACCTTCGGAAAAGAGTGAAATTTCACTCGGCAGTCTATCTGCAACATCAGGGCTACAGGGGTAGTAAGTTATATCCGCTGTAGTACAGACACCAGACCCTATGATATATGTTCATGCAACTTGTGAGTAACCTTTCAAATGTTTTCCTTTAGAGCAATGCCCAAACATGTGAACTGAGTCCATCATTCATATGCTCATCCCTTAAATATTCAGCATTTATTTATCCAAACATCATCAACTCAGAGTAACCCATTGCACATTCTTTACCATGCCAACAGAGTCACTCATTCATACGTGCATCCCTTTAATGCTTAGAACAGTCTTATTTATTGAAAACATCATTAACTCATAGAGTAACCTACTAAGCACTCTTTATTACTCACTTTATTCATAGCATGATAAAAATTTGGTGGTTTATTTCTTACTTTCATGGGCTTAAATTACATGTTGATTCACTGGATATTATGGGTCTCTCTTCTGCTATTTCACAAAATATTCACACAATCTGTAGAAATTCTTCTCTAGACTTCTGACTATAATCATATTCTTGTTGTTCTAGTTTAATTTATTTTATGGGAGCATGAGAGCAATTGCGTTTCTCCCTGTTTGTATGAGCTTGAGATGCATAATCAATACAGTAGATTTTTTTTTCTTTTTTCTATCTGTTAACTTGCCTCATAAATTCAGTTGCAATCCTGAGGATAACATATGCTTCTGGCAGTTCCATTGAGTTCTAGGGTTGCTAAATAAAGAACAGTGTTTACTTATTTGTCTTGCTGAAGTCTCTTCAGTTCTGCATTTCTTATGTATTGTTTTGTTTAATTTTCTGTGGCATTCAGAACGTTTCGAATTTATATTTACCTATGCAATCCAAGGAAGTTTCTGATTTTAATCACTAGCTAAATTAAATGACTATTCATGAATTCACATTGGATTAGAAACTAGAGCTATTTATTCATTGTTGTTCTCCATCTTGATGCAGATCCTGATATGCAGAAGCAGATCGAGAATACCCTTTCCATTGGACACATATCTTATGAAGTTCATTTATCTGTATGTTTGTGACTATCTTGCTTCTGTTTCTTATGTATTTTAGTTTTGAAAATTCATTATATAACCAGTTGTTTTCAATGCATAAGGTTAATTCTGAGAACTTATATTATCCATTGCAGGCTAAATATCTAGACATATGGGAGCAAGCTGTTTTGGCAATTAAGAGGGAAGGCTACAGTATAAAGTGCAATGGCCCGCGTGGAGTTGTTGTTGCAGAGAAGTTCCAATCAACTACCACTGTATGGGTTTTTGCAAGATGTGGAATCACTTATAAATGCTATTACTGTGTTACAGCTTGTCATAAATTGGTTAAATTTCAAAGTCATCGTTTCTGTGTCAAGTGTCTATGCAACTATAGAATATATTATAAAATAGTATTCATTTTTATCACCTTTTAGAATTTATTTACTCCAATGTGCTGTGCTTTCAAAAGATATTTGGACCCTTTGCTGATGCATCAAACATTCTTCTGCAGATTACAATTCCTTATGGCCATCCCATGGAGTTCTCAATTCAATGTGCTAATGGTGATGAGTATCTCTTAAGGGCAAAAGATAGTAGCTGGTAAGTGCCTATTCACTTGTTATTTTTAGGTCTTATCATTATTCAAGGCTGCTATATTTATAATGGTATTAGGATTTTTCAGGAGCTAATTGTAGATGTTCTTAACCTCATGTTAATAACTTAAATGCATGACTAGATACTTTATTATTAGTTTCTCTAGCTTGTTCACAGTAAGTGTATGCTTATCTGTTTCTTCTGTTGCACTTTTATGCCTGATTTGACAGGTTTCGGGATACCATTGTGCTTACTATGAGATTATTCAAGAAGATGGTATGTTTGCTCTAATCTACTCGAAATTTTCTATTATATCTTCAACATTGTCCAGACAATCAAAATTCATGTTACTTGCTTCTTTTTCTGGACTCTCTTCTTTGTCATCAGAGGATTTGTTTGTCAACGGTGTTGTCTTTTTGACTATCTAGTCGGCATTGCTATATTTAAGTTCATGTTACTTTTAGTATGTTATCCTCTTTGTTTGAGGTACCAATTTCATTATCGAGTTTTGCCTGATTTACCGTGAAGTTAGACACAGATGGTATCAGATGCATTTTTCTTCTCATGTCATGGTTGACCGTGTCCCAAGGGTTAGTTCCCTAAAATAATGTTTATAATGCTAGGAAGCAGAGATATGTTTCAGCTGTATGTTCTTTCAGGGCGTTACCTAATGCAGCTAGGAAGCAGAGATATGTTTCAGCTGTATGTTCTTTCAGGGCGTTACCTAATGCAAGAGGACACCCACTCTGGAAAAATGCAATACATAGTTGCTGTATGTTCTTTCAGGGCGTTACCTAATGCAAGAGGACACCCACTCTGGAAAAATGCAATACATAGTTTGTATATTATGCGTAATGAGATGGTTTAATTCTCTAGATCATTCTTACCACCTGATCTCCATTTACTCACCACTATGCAGCTTGCTGCTCTTAGCTGCCCTGTTCTGTTTTTGTTTCTTCTTTTTTAGTTTTTACGCTACTGGTAAGATACAACCTGGGGCACAAAAGAGAAATCTGAAGATCTATAATGAAATCTGATGAGTTCTGAAAGCAATATTTAGAAGCTAAAGAAATCTGAACACAGTGCTGATATGTCTGAGAACTCCTGGGTATTACTATATGCAAAGCGTTAAAACTGTGCGCAAAATTTTAGGAAGAGTGCAGACAAGAAGTGTGACTTCCTTACTCGAATTTTAATTAAATTTAAAACTGAGCAAGTTCTTTTCATGGGTTTCATGTCCAAATTATTAGTGTTCTCTTCGCCTTCTATCTGTTCCTTAATCTGTGTGGTCGGTTACCTGCTGTTGGTGTGAATTGCAGAGATTCTAATTAATGCCAGTTCCATCATTTGTTTGTTCTATAGAACAGTACTGTCCCATGCATATTTAACTGTATTGTCTGGTGACATTCTTTTTCTGTTGTAATCATCATGTTACTGATAATATGGCTGATATTACACTAGCAACGTATTTATATATCTAATGAATATTTCGGTTTTTAATAAGCTGCAATGCATATTTTACATTGGATATCAAAATTGGACATGTATTTTTTGTGCCCTTTGGCTAAAAGACAGATATTTTGCTGCAGGCAATAGAAAAAAGGAAAGGGAGAAAAAAGGGTCTCTTCTTCAAATCCTAGTCCTTGCCATTATGAAGGATGGTGATGTACATAATTCTAGAATTTAATACATTTCTGCAGATGTACATTAGATGTAGAGGTCTTCTGGATGGTGATGTACATAATTCTAGAATTTAATACATTTCTGCAGATGTACATTAGATGTAGAGGTCTTCTCCATTATTCTAATCTTCTAGAATTTAATACATTTCTGCAGATGTACATTAGATGTAGAGGTCTTCTCCATTATTCTAATCTCACCTGTAAAGATCTCTACCAATTTTTCTCAAAGGAGAGATCATCTTAACTTCTTCTGTCCCCAGCACAATTCTACCTGTTTTCAGTACATTTTCCAACTGTTCTTGTTCTGTACATCTCTTAGCTTCCTGCTTAGGCTTTAAATGGACAGATGCTGGATGATATCAAATATTATCGAGCCAATTTGATGAAGTCATAAATTAAAATGCAAAGGTTGAGCTGTTAGCTGAATAGCAATTATTATTATTATTATTTATTTTTGTATTTTTTGTTTTTTTATTTTTCTTGGTTGGTGCTTCCAATTTGCTATTGGTTTGCAGTTCACATTACACTGGATTAAATATGGATCTATATTGTGATATCAATTTTGACTATATTTGAATCTGAGCAAGTTCTTAATGCCAGCTTTTGTTCATTTGCATCATCAGGTTTTCCTTGTTGCTTAATCCATGGACTGGATCTGCTGATAGTTGTCTGAGCTCATTCAAATTGATTGCATGGTTTATCATTTCTGAAGGAAGAAATTTTTGAAATGAATCCATTCACAATTTTAATCCCACATTCCGACCCAATCCAAACTTATTTACCAAAATCGACCTAATTTTTGGCCACGAAGCTGACGTGGCGAGAAAGTGGGTCGATTTTGATAAATAAGTTTGGATTGGGTCGGAATGTGGGATTAAAATTGTGAATGGGTTCATTTCAAAAACTTCTTCTTTGTGAAGGGGTCCGGATAAACTTGCCTCATGCCTCATTGTATTATTAGTAGCGCAACGACACGATTTTAACTCGAATGATTTCCAGATTATGTTTTTTTTCTTCTGTGTGTGGGTCTGGATTGGGTATTGTTAGTGTGTACTTCGGTATCATATAGCATTAGACATTTCTACTTGGTAATAATATATTATTTGGCAAGATTTATTGATCTGTAACGGTTCGTTTTTGGAGGTATTAAGCTTGTTCTGTCAAGAGGAAATGTATTAATCTCACCAAACACTTTCACTGTTAATTCACCCCATTTTCTAGTTTTGGTTCTAGGCGTAGCCCTCGCAAAATAACTATCAGGGGGAATTGATGTTGTATCCGGATAAAGTTTTGGCCCACTCGATACAATTTATCTTAATTTGTTATGATATTTAAATTCTTATACTATAAAGAGTTATAGTGGATTTAGATAAGATCATAGGACAAATTTTCAAAACCAACCCATTTGATGTTTTAATTGCAAAAAACGACCCGTTTCTAACTTATTTAGAGAAACCGACCTGGTTTCAGCACTGTCGTTGAAACCAGGTCGGTTTTTCTAAAAAACTTTACGAAACTTCACGGGAGTTCAACTCCCGTGAAGTTTAGCATACTTTTAAACTTCACGGGAGTTGAACTCCCGTGAAGTTTATTTCCACCAATAAACTCCACGGGAGTTCAACTCCCGTGGAGTTGCAGGGTAAAATCCCCAGCGAGCAGCTCGCTGGAAAATCTGGCCTGCAGCTTCACGGGAGTTGAACTCCCGTGAAGCTGCAGGCTAATTTCCCAGCGAGTTACTCGCTGGGGATTTTACCCTGCAACTCCACGGGAGTTGAACTCCCGTGGAGTTTATTGAGGGTAATAAATTTCACGGGAGTTCAACTCCCGTGTCTCTCCCTGCAACCGCCCCCAAACCCTAACTTCTCTCCGTCGTCGTCCACGTCGTTTCCGACCCCAGCCCCCCAAATTCGACCGCCGGCCCTTGATTCCGACCGCCAGCACTCCTTTCCGACCGCCGGCCCTTGATTCCGACCGCCGGAACAGCTAACTTCGCCGGATTTCGATAATTTGAGGGTAAATTCCTCCCAAAATTAGTTTTTCTCTTAATTTCTTGTATTTTCTCGCTATTTAATGGTGATTACATGTAAAAAATTATATTTTAGAATTTAATTGTGAAATTTTTATGATTTATGTGAAGAAAACTTAAATAATTTTGTCGATTTAGAGGGTAAATTATCAATAATGTAAAAAATAGTGTTACTACATATGTATGACATCTAATTTATTTTAAGAAAATTGTGTTATCAATAATTTTGTCGATTTTAGAATTTCATTGTGAGTAAGTTATGAAATTATAAAAAATCTAAAAATTAGTGCTATATGACATCAATTAGATTTGAGAATTTAATTGTGAATTTTATGAATTATGTGAAGAAAACTTAAATTATTTTGTCGAGTTAGAGGGTAAATTATCAATAATGTAAAAAATAATGTTACTACATATGTATGACATATAATTTAGGATTTAATTTTAAGTAACAATAAATTTTTAAAGTCTTTTCGTGTAATATTGATCTTGAATGTTTTACTCTTCAGAGGTAATAATGAACGATCGAATCGTAATTTTGTGTTCGTATGATGGGAAGATTAAATACCTTGAAAATAATATGCCCGTTTATGAAGGAGGTACGACGAGACCATTGTTTATAACAAAATCATGTACTTTCGATGAGTTGGTTAATGAATTGCACAAACTTACATTAACCAACTCACGTGAGTATCACCTTAATGTTATTTGCAATTATCCATTAACCAACTCACGTGAGTATCACCTTAATGTTATTTGCAATTATCCTGTCGTGGAGAACAGGACAAACGACATTCAAATATCAAGTGACTACGATATGAGTCTCATTGGAGTCTTACATGACGAGAAGCGTTAGATTGAATTGTTCATTGAAAAACATCAAAGGAATTTGGGCAAATCGTTGAATTATGATGGAATGTATTCCCGCATATTGGAGGACCCTGATGTTGATTCCGTTGGCTTTTTATCTCCTCAACAAGATGAAGGTTGGACTCAATCACAATATATGAGCGGTCCTTCGCTTGTGGACACTTCGAATGCGGTCGATACTAACACGAGAGTTCAAGAAGATAATGCAAGTGTTGAATCTGAGAATGATGATGAAGAGGAGGGCTTACAAATTAATAGCATGACCTTGATAGATCGTGATGAAGGGGACAACCACCACATTGACGGGTGTTATGCTAATAATGAGTATGTTGTTTTAGAGGATCCGCCGCCCGATGAGCTTCAAGGAGAAGAATGGATCGATAACTCCGTGATGGAAAGTGTTCCTATTGGCACTAATAGCGGTCATGATACACAGGGCGAGGACTTCTCATTCGTGAAGGGAGATCTATATGAGAGCAATGAGAAATTGATCCATGCGCTCCGCTTGTACACCATTGCAAAAAATGTCAAGTTTAGGCCAACAAAAAATAATACTACAAGCTATAATACGGTTTGTTTCTATCGCAAAGATGGCGATGATGAAGATATTGATGGACACCACGACGGCAATGCGAAATGTCCGTGGAAGCTTAATTCACGCTCCGGTGTAAGAGTAGGCGGGCAATTCAAAATCACGGCATACAACGGACTCCACACTTGTAGCAATCCTCGATTAGAGATGAATAACAAGAATGCATCCTCTTCCTTCATATATCGATTGATTTTACCGCATCTGAGGGAGGATTTTGATCTAAGGCCGAAAGATATTCGTCTTCTAGTGCAAAAAGCCACCAACTTGGATGTATCATATCACAAGTGTTGGAATGCTAGGAGGAAGGCGATGATAAAAATATTCGGTGATTGGGATAAATCGTATGAGATCTTACCTCATTATCTTGAAGCACTCAAAAGAGAAAATCCAGGAACTGTCTACGAAGTATCTTCGGACCCCGTTGATGGCGGAGATCGGTGGTTCACCGGTGTATTTTGGGCATTTGAGCCATGTATTGAGGGGTTTCGATATTGTCGTCCTCTTCTTAGCATTGATGGCACCCACTTATACGGCAAGTACAAAGGAGTTTTGCTTGTTGCCACCGGAGTTGATGCGGATGGCGGTTTGTTTCCTTTGGCGTTTGCAGTGGTTGATATTGAAAACACAGAGAATTGGGCGTGGTTTTTTGCATGCATTAGATATCATATCCCTAGTGTGGGTGCGCGGCCGATTACATTCATATCTGATAGGATGAAAGGAATTCCAAGAGCACTCCAACGTCATTTCCCAGAGCCACATGCACATCGTTATTGCTTGCGACATATTAGGGACAACTTCAAGAAGAAATTTGGAAACGGTCAGGTTCAAGATCTTCTTTGGCAAGCCGGCTGTGCAACAGAAAAATTAGTTTATGACCAAATACGAGAGAGGATTAAGTTTATCTCCCGAGCTGCACATGATTGGATCGAAACTAGTTTGGGACCACACAATGTTGATAAGTGGGCTTTATGTGAAGATGGCTGGAGCCGGTTCTGTATGATGACTACGAACGCTTCAGAGAGTTTCAATGGCGTGCTCAGGGGAGCACGCGGTATGCCAATACAATCACTAGTTGCTAAAACATTCTACAGACTTAATAACTTCTTTCTACGACGTCGCGAACTTGGTGAAAATATCCGCTCGGAGCTCACACCGAAAAATGATGAAATGTTAGCGGCTCGGATTGTACAAGCTCGATCCTTTCATGTCGTAAGATACAGTTTTAATGATTGGGAAGTCATTGAGGGAATATCACATAGAGAAAATCGCTCTTATAAAGTGAACATGTTAGTGGATCACTCGTGTACGTGCACTTGCAACGTACCGCAATTACAATGGATTCATTGTTCACATGTTGTCGCGGCTTGTTCTGATCTACAAGGTGGTGCGAGGATTTCACACTATGAGTTCGTCGAGGCTTGGTATTCTACTTACAACTATCGACAAACATACAAAGAGTGTTTTCGTCCACCATATGATAGTCGATATTGGACACAAGACGGGCCATTGATATTGCCTCCTTTGTATAAAAGGTCGGCAGGGCGCCCTCGTTCCGTACGAATTAGAAATTGTATGGATGACGATCGTGAAGGAGTTAGGAGGAGAAATAAGTGTAGTAGATGCGATCAATCGGGCCATAAGAAAAATAATTGTCCAGTTAGGATTAGGCGTTGATGTTGTAATTTGTAGCGGTTTCGATCTGTGTTTTCTTCCGTATGTCATTTGTGATTGTTAAATGCTAGGGGTTTCGTTCTGTGTTTGTTTCCGTGTGTCATTTGTGATTGTAATTTGTAGCAGTTCCGTGAGTTGTTTGTTTCTGTATCTCATTTGTATCGTACTATGTTATATAAATTTAATGTTTGGTTTCAAGTTATTGCTTTCTTCACGTTGCGCATTCGTTTGTTGTTTATATATAACTAGATGAGTATTTTAACAAAAAGATCTAACACATTGAGCATTGTCTTCTAATCTAATTCTCAGTTATATTCATTATGGATCCGGGACCGAGACGCCCCGATGTTTTGACCCTCCAGGCGAGCCACGTTTCAGATTATATTGGCTCAGGACAGGTAAAACATCTTTTGTATATGCTAGTTAGCATTGGCACTAATTTTAATTTTTCGCATTGTACTTAATCAATTCTTTTTGACGTGCAGCCCGTACCTGATTTCACCATGATCGAGCATTCCCAGAGCCATTCATCTTGGGTCATTGAGGATGAGAGAGTTCTCGCGCTGATCTCTCAGGCTGGTTTTCGGGAGTGTTCAACGGTTCGATATATCAGGCTTGATTGGCCGCTTATCACTGCTTTGATTGAGAGGTGGAGGCCAGAGACCAACACCTTTCACATGCATATAGGGGAGTGCACCATCACTTTACAGGACGTGGCCGTCATTCTTGGGCTCCGGATCGATGGGCTGCCAGTTACGGGCACCGATGATCATAGTTGGCCTGAGGTATGTGCCCGGCTTCTTGGACAGGTTCCGGACTTGAGGAGTGGTGCGATGAAGCTATCGTGGCTTCGTCAGACATTTCAGGGCGACATACCAGAGGATGCCAGTAATGAGACGCTTCAGTTCCATGCTCGGGCTTACATATTGCACATGATAGAGTGCGTGCTTTTTCCTGATGCGAGCAAGACTCTTGTACATGCACGATGGCTGCCGTTGCTTGAGGATTTTGACGTATGCGGCGCACTGTCGTGGGGCAGTGCGGTGTTGGCATACTTGTATCGAGAACTGAGTAGAGTATCCCTGATGCAGAATAAAGAATTCAAGGGATGCTGCACATTGATACAGATTTGGTCATGGGAGCGCATTCATATTGGACGCCCTACTTTACTTGTGCACCGTGACCTACAGGGGCAGTTTCCTTTGGCGTACAGGTATAATTGTACACACAAATTTTATTCGCACTGAATTTGTACTTATATATTCTCTATTCTGCATATAGGTATAACGTACGGTACGCTAAGTACCGATCAGCGATGCGCCATCGTGAGTTTTACCAAAATGAGCTTGATGGCCTCCAACACAAACAAGTAAATATAAATCTCAAGTCGTTATGAATATTATAGTTTTGTTGTTAATACTGATAAATGTTTTGTTTTATTTCAGTTCAAGTGGAGACCCTATACACAGCCGGAGCTGGATATGCATTCTCTTGCACCCATCTGCCGAGATAGTCCCGACTTGTGGAGAGCGAGAGTTCCATTGATTTGTTGGGAGATCGTGGAGATGCATGTCCCTGACCGTGTGCTACGACAGTTTACGCTCTCTCAGCATGTACCAGAGCCTGTTGAGCAGATCTCTCATCGGCGGCGACCTACTTCGCACCATAACGACTGGGTCGTAGTTCGTGCGGCCTACATAGACAGGTGTGCTCAAAGGTGGGATTTCATCCAGGATACGAGGCCCACGGCTGTTGACTATACCGCGTATATGGGTTGGTATTGGGATATCACACGTAGATGGATCACACGTGACCCACAGCCCTTAGCTGGACACATGCCACGGCCACCGACAGACAGTTACATCCCTAGTGGGATGAACGAGAGAGATTACGTAAGTTTCTAAGCTAAATTATAATATTTTTTTCTTGAGTTGGTACTTAATAAATTATTTACCTCACAGGTCCATGCTTTGGATAGCATTCAGGCTGATATTGATGCGACCGTGCCTGAGATTCAGGACACTTCGCATGCTGATGGAGCCGGCACTTCACATGATGATGGAGCCGGCACTTCACATGCTGATGGAGCCGGCACTTCGCAGCCTCACACACAGCCGGATACTCAGATAGTCGAGGCTCATCAGCGCGGGGGGCGGGGAAGAGCGAGGGGGAGGGGGAAGAGAGGGAGAGGAAGGAGAGGAGATATATTGGGTTGTATTTGAACTTATTTTGTTAAAATTTGTAAATTGTATGAATTTTCAAATACTATATTTTTATGGATCAATTATAGCTCGATATGTGATCTTTTTGCGTATTGTTTGATTCGTGCGTGTTTAAATAATATATATATTGCAGTAATTATTGTCAACAGGTAAATAGTTGTATATATGAGTTAAATAGGTAGACGTATGCATGCTGTGCATGTTTTTGCAAAACCTGCAACTTCAAGGGAGTTGAACTCCCGTGAAGTTGCAGTGTAAATTTCCCAGAGAGCGATTCTCTGGGAAATTTTGGCCTGTAACTCCACGGGAGTTCAACTCCCGTGGAGTTTTAACAATACAACAAACTCCACGGGAGTTGAACTCCCGTGGAGTTTATTGAGGGTAATAAATTTCACGGGAGTTCAACTCCCGTGAAGTTTAAAAACGTACTAAACTTCACGGGAGTTGAACTCCCGTGAAGTTTCGTAAAGTTTTTTTTCAAAAACCGACCTGGTTTCAGCGACAGTGCTGAAACCAGGTCGGTTTCTCTAAATAAATTAGAAACGGGTTGTTTTTTGCAATTAAAACATCAAATGAGTTGGTTTTGAATAGCAATTATTTACCTGCAACATAATTTACGTGCTTTTAATTTTAATTGGGGAAAAAAAAAACACTTCAAACTTTTTGAGAGAGATTCCTCTCGAACTCTCTTTTTGGCGAGCCTCTATCTGCTATGTTGAGGGGGTGATTTTGTAAATCACCCCTCAACTCATCTGGGATTGGCTTCCAAACCCTATTTACCCAAGTTATTTTTTCCCTGTCACTCCCCCAGGATTCTCATCACCTTCTCCATCGCCTGCAGCTGAACTCTTCATCATTTGACAAATATTATGAAAGTTGAGGTCTTTAGACTTCAAATTTATAGCATATAACATTACCGAATACTCTGGGACATAGACATCAGTAAAATGATTATCCAAATCTTTTCTGGATCTTAATTCATTCATATACAAATGATTATCCAAAGCATTTCTCTCACGGGAATGTCAATAAAGATACATTAATGTAGCTTCAACACAGAGAATGTACAAGTAACGGAATGAATATTACAGTTGTCCAAACTTTACTGAATCTTAATTCATTCATCTTGCATTTCACTAAATTAATGCAAAGCACATGTACTTTTTTTTGTAATCATACGAACTCAAAGAACACATACAATTATCTGCGGATTGAAGTAAAATTCTTGGTACATTTGAGCTGAAAATGCACCTCGTAGTGAAGGTACTAGAAGGTGACAGATAAAAAATGCTAATCTCTGTATTCAATGCAAGCACCATTTCAAAAATCACGTGTAAACAAAATAAAATTCCAGGAAAATTTTCGAAGTGACCAATTCCTATCATTAACTGGAAATCTGCAGCAAGTAAATGATCGAATAAGTGGTAACACGCATTTATGGATGCCCATGCGAATGCTGAGGAGTTTGATACAGGGAGAATTGTGCATGAATCAGTCTTTATCTAGTGTTGGGTTTATTATAGTCATTAATTGTTACTGTAATTAGATGTAAAAATGAATGTGTTTGGGTATTAAATGGACGGACCATAAACGGGCGGACATGTTTTACCATTTACCCATTTATGACCCATTTAACATTTTCTAAATGGGCGGGTTTTTAACTGCACATTTAATAAACAGTTCACCCATTTACTCATTTAACTATAGTAGTTATGTATATAATACTTTTTGGGGTGTTTTTTGTAAATTTTAGGGGGGCTTTTTGCAAACTATTGAGGCTTTTCGTAAACTATTGGGGGCTTTTAGTAAACTATTAGGGGCATTTTTTTTGCAAAGATAGGAACATAAACAAAGGCAGACAAGCTCATGACTGAACCATTTACAAGCTTGGATAAAAGTACAGACCTCACATATTTGCAAAATTAATACATAACAAAAAATGGTGCCAACATATCATGACCTTTGAACCTGAGACAAAGTATCCATAACAAAATATTAATACACATTTTATGCTGAAACACATAGATAAAGACTGCAAGAAACTAAAAAAGTACAAATTACTCCTGTATATCATTTGCTCTATATGTTTCCACTGAGTTATATTCATCATACCCTTTATCCTCTCTTGAATCAGACTGTAGAGATGCCTCTGATCCCGTCAATCTGACTGATGAGTTAATATATTGAGGCACAAGACCCTGCAACAACCCTGCAGCTGCTCCGTGTCTCAAGAAAGCTCCAACCTGTGCACAATGAATAAGGTGAATTACTTATAGTGATAATAATACACTAGGTAGCAGTAACAACTGAAAGTATGAATTTCTTGCATACTTCAGGTAAAACTTTTAGCATCTCGTGTATGTAAGATGTAGTAACTCTAGTCTCCAAAACTAATAATGCATGTTTTTCCCCCTTCAGCAGGCAAACTTTAAAAACTTAGCTTCATATACAAAAGTACCTATACGAAACAATTCATGAGATTGGGTCCAGAAGTAGTTTAGTATCAATAAACTAGTGTCTGATACGTACTTACATACGAAACAATTACATGCCACTAACAATAGCATGTAATGCTTTAGAAGTTCTACGTACTTACATACTTAACAATTAAAAGTGTCCTAGCATGTAATGCTTTAGAAGTTCTACGTACTTACATACTTAACAATTAAAAGTGTCCACCAACAGTATCGCAAGTTGACACAAATTTTAATAGAGAAAACTTACATACTTAACAATTAAAAGTGTCCACCAACAGTATCGCAAGTTGACACAAATTTTAATAGAGAAAAACTAGGATTGTAAATATTCAATTTTTATATCAAATCTCTATTCAGCGTTGCTTGCTAAAAGAGGAACAGAGTGAAGTCAATCAAACATGAAATTTGATCAATATTAAAGTGTAGAAAATGGAGGAAACTTTTCTGAAATAAATAGGCCAGTAGGGCAACAAATGGCGCTTGCAAAAACCCCCCAAAGCCATCAGAATTCTCCACTCCCTTAATTCCGTCAAACCCTAACGTCGCCTCAACGCCTCAAGACGTCTAATTGCCTCCAAATCTCAGCACAGGATCAACGGAAGAATCGAAGATGAAGAGGGGGGTGGAGCAGAAGAGGAAATGGCATACTACCGGCAACCCCCTCAGTTTTTAATGTTAATTGATAATCTTAAATACTGATAATCACAACGTAAAAAAGGGCAAAATAAAAATAAATAGATTGAAATATAGGATAAAACTATAATTAAGCGAGTTGAAAGGGGCAAAATGGACATGCAAAAGTTTTGACGCTTGTTTTCTCTTTTAGAATTAGGGGCTGTTTGGTTCGCTATTATAAGGGGTGGAAAACTCATAAAACCCATCCACGTCAGATTTTTAGCCCTCCACGTCAGTTTTTTTGTTTCCGTCCATTTCTTTGTGCCGCTTTAGTTCGCTCAGATGGAAGAGGGAAAACTCTGCTGAAATCGCCGCCATCTCAGATTTTTTTCCCTCTCCGATTTCCTTCCCCAACCGAGTGAAATTGATGAAAACTCTGCCACGTCAGATTTTTTTCCTTCTCTGCTTTGTTTACAAAAGTTTTTCTTTTTTTTCTATGCGAACCAAACACAAGAAAAATAAATACATTGGTTTCTCACCGTTTTTTATGTGCGAACCAAAGCAAAACAATCTATTTCTTGGAAAAGTTTGAAAAACTCAAAACTTGTATTTCTTTACATGGAATTGCATTTCTCTATATCAAGGAAACGAACCAAACAGCCCCTTAGTATAGATAGATTTATGACAAATTAATCCAAACACCTAGGATCATAAAAGTCCGCAAACCCTAAACAAATAGAGACCCCTTCATTTATTCATATCTCCTTAACAAATATCTAATTGCAGCAAGCCCCATAACAATTGCTACTCCTCCTTCCTTCTATCTTTGATTTTCAGTTTTGTTATTATTTTGTTTTATTTTCATTTTGAAGAAACAACGGTGCTACAGATTGTTCCTCTCTTTTATTTGGTATCCACTACCAAATAAACCCCTTAACAAACGTCTAATTGCAGCAAGCCCCATAACAATTGCTATAGTAATTATTTCTTTCTTTGCATAAAAGTCATTTTATAACTTAATATTTATAATACGGACTTATTACCAATAGAAAATTAAGGATATTACAAAGCTACCCATAAAAATGGGAAAATAACATTTGTTGCAACTCGCGTGAGACAAAACAGGGGGGTGGGACCCACAGCTGTGGGTCCCACCCCCCTGTTTTGTCTCACGCGAGTTGCAACTAGCGCGAGCCAAATAGCAGGGCTCATAAAAATGCCATGACCAGAGCGAATCATTGGCTGTATGCAACTTTGAACAGCAAAGATACAACATCAGACGAGGAAGAGAGATCGTACCGAATCGCTAACGAATATGAATGTAAGTGATGTGTCGGATGTTGGGCCAATCAGCACCTTCATTCTCCCGGCATCGCTCCTTCAGTGCCTCGTTGCAGCCCCTGATCTCCAGCGTTCGCAGGGACAAAGGAAGTTGTGGCAGTGATTGAAGCTCATAAGCTTCACCAAGTGTCAAGTAGTCGAGGGAAGGGAGTGCTTGGAGGATAGAAGAAGGCAAGAACTTCGCTTTACCCCACAGCTCGAGATGTTGAAGTGAAGTTGAATTCTGCAACAGCCATGACTCTGCGAGAGCAGCCTCCAGGTGACTACAATCTCCTATCTTCAGCCACCTGACAGATGTGAGGTTTCTCAATGGCTCTATGCGGAGCAGGAACGGGTCATCGATGTAAAGATCTTCAACAGTCGATGTGAGCTCCTGCTCCTCTTCCCGCTTGATTATTGATGCTGGAGTTGTTTCCTCAGCTGCTTGCACAAGCTTGGGGCACTCCCTAATGGTTAGACTGTAGAGGTGGGGAAGAGCCTTTAGACGCACAATTGATGCCAGCTTAGGAGTGAGACCGTCCGGTCCACCACAATCAGCTGGGGTAACTGTGTTTGGAGACATCCTCAGCTCAGGGCAATCCTCAATCCGCAACAGCCTGAGAGACGTGAGATGATGTCGGAACAAGCCAGCCACGGATGTCAGCTCTCCACACCTTCTAATTCTCAATTCAGAGAGGGAGGGAGAGGACGTGGACGAAGAGCTAGCTGTACCGCAGCTGCTACCACCGCAGTTGCTGCTCACCCAGAATGCTGGAGAATCAGACAATCCCACATCATCCAACTCCAATTTTTGGAGACCGAGGGGCAGAGGGGGCAGCGCCTTCAGTTTGCGACAATACTCGATAACAAGTTCCTTGAGCAGAGGACACCAGGGTACTGCCTCTGCTTCTAATCCACACCACTCCTCCCATTGCTCACAGTCATAAATATCTAAATACCTTAGTTGTTGAAAGCCACCTTCACAATTAATTTGCTGAAGAGCTGGCAGTCCCCCCAATGTCAAACGCATGAGGTATGGGAGCTTCCCGAGAGAAGGAAGGTGCTTCCATGCCCTGCCACATACAAGGCTCATGTACTCCAGATTTTTTAATAATTCTGGTCCCATCCAACATGGAGACCTGGCACCTTGGTATCCCTTGATTGTTAGTCCCCTGAGGCTATCAGGTGGCTGCAGGCGATCAAGCATCAGTTCATACTCATCCGCCACATCACTGTCATCAGACCAAACCAGCTCTAACATGAGGAGGTTTTTTTTACAATGCAACTCGATCGTACTGACTTCCTCGTGATGTTTGCGATTCTCAAGGCCACGGATCTTCAGCTCTCGCAAATCTCTCATCTCCTTCAATTCGCTCAATTTATAAACATTAGCAGCGAACGACAAACGTTGAAGTGAAGTTAATGTCCCAATCCCCTCGATTTTTTCATAGTAAACTTCACATGGTATTAGGTGTCTCAAACTAACAAGATTATTCAAACCAAGAACAGGACCAGTAGAATATCCAATAGGCGGCCAAAAACAGTTAAGGACCTGCAGGTGGTAAAGCCTACAGAATGAACTTGGTAACCGAGAAATAACATGACGAATCGACAAATATCTGATATGCCTCAGGTTACCAATTGCATCTGGCAAAGCGTTCATGCCGTCAACATCTAGGCGCAGCACCCTAATGCTTTCCAGTGACTTGAACGCTTCTTCAAAATCCTTGGCATGCTCATTAACATATCCTCTGAAGACTAACACAAGCGTGCGGAGTTTCTTCTGTTTGCCCACATCTTTAAGAAGGTCAAGTTTGTCGGTTTCAAAATGCAAATGACGTACCGTATTCGGGATCTGGTCAATTGACATGTCTCCGACAAATCTAAAGCATTCACCATGAGATACTTCACGTGCTAGATCATGCAAAAGATCATGCATGTTGTAGGCAGCTTTGTAGTAAAGTTTTTCGAGAAATGATAGTTTCACTAAATCGTCGAAGTAGCCCCTTCCAGTGTCCTCTAGTGTCTCGTTTGGATATTGGGAAGATTTTTGAATGAGGCCAAGAGCCATCCACATGAAGACTAGATCATCTTTCTCGAACACATAATCTTGAGGAAAGATGCTGCAATAAGAAAAACAGGGTCTTAAGTGCATTGGTAGATGGTGATAGCTTAACATCAAAACCGCCATCACACCATCCCTCTGTTGTGCTTGATCGGATATATTGTTCGCTTGCAAAATTCTGGTCCAATGACTATCATCCAACTTGGAATTCAATAGCGCTCCAATCGTCTTTGCAGCCAACGGTAAGCCCCCAAGCCTTCTTGCTATTTGCTTGCCAATGGATTCCAACTTCCTATAATCACAAGAGTCTACCCCAGCAAATGCATGTTGCTTGAAAAGTGATAAGAAATCTTCACCGTATAAGGGATTTAACTTCAACGATTTCTTTATTGATCCCCCCAAAGCCAATGTGGCCATGTCTGCAGCGCTCTCCGATCTAGTAGTTAACAAGATTTTGCTTCCTTTATGGCCGCTCCTCAAAGGAGCAAACAATTTATCCCACTCAGAACGATTGTCATCATTCCATGCGTCATCCAAGACAAGGAGAAATTTCCTCGATGACACCAGATCTTTAAGAGCTTCCTGCAGAGCGGCAAGTCCCCTGACTTCAGGTCTCTTTTTCTTGACGTATTCTATAATATCTACCATGACCTTTTTGACATCAAAGGGAGTGGAGATACACACCCAGATTTTGGAATCGAATGAATTAGCTAAGCTCTCGTCATTATAGACGAGTTGTGCAAGGGTGGTCTTGCCCACTCCTCCATGGCCAAAAATGGAGAAAAGAGAGACACTTGTACTGCTCACATCCTCTCTCAACCACCCTAACAGTTTCTTCGTGTCTTCATCTCGTCCAAACACTTTTCTCTCAGTTAGAGCTGGTCCAGTTTCGCGAGCAGAAACCATGCTCAGACTTTGATGTTGTTGATGCAGTTGTCTGTGTTCTTGTAGTGTAGAGATGAAATCTCCGACGCCCGCCGCGACTTCATCTAGCCTTTTCACGGCCCCCCTCAGTTTCCCGAGGGTGAGATCGGATTTGAAGACTCTTTTACCAGCTTTTACAGCTTTCCGTTTAGAGTCGGAGAGAAAACCACGCACTTTACCCCTGCCTGCGTGCGAAAATGGTAGGGAAGTTCATTTTCTTTTATTGATTAAATTCGAAAAACAATCAATTATTTTTGAGCACCTGGTTGCTAACCTTCAGTTATGAAATAAAGAACTGATAACAAGAAGGCGAAATTTCATTTTTTTTTGACACTTAAAAAGCCATCACTTACCTCTATCACCATGTCCTTTGCTGCCTGAGGCTTTCTCCTCAACTTGTTTCTGCAGCTTAAGGTAATCAAGCTCATCAAGTACGTTGTCAGCCTCGTAAACAACATCTTTTAGTTGCCACAGCCATTTCTTGAGTGCTCCAGTAATTTCTTGCTGCCCGCTCTCAGCCATCTCCACAACATCTTCGATACGAGGAAGAGCTCTCCCGAGCCTCTCAAGCTCATCTTTCATCGTAGTATCATTAGCAAAATACCGGTCTTTTATGTAGGCGAGCCCGATCTCCATCAACTGATGAATGATTTTGGTCACAATCACGTCTCCGACCACCACCATTTTTTTATGAGTGGCGAACGCTCTTCGCTTTTGCTTTCTGGTAGTAGATGTAAACTTCGATTGCAGAGAGTTGCAGAGAACTCCTTGGTTCTCCTACAGTACTTAAGAAATGGGGGACTTATATCCACACTCCGAATTATGTTATGATAAACCCCACTCCGCCCCCACATCAAGTTGCGGTTTGCAGGCGGAATTGAGAGGATGCATGAATATCAACTACTTTGCGCAGTTCAAGTCCATAAGTTTATCGTGATGTGGATGAAAAATCGAGATGTGGATTATCAACTTGGGGACTTATTTTTTTGGGTTTTGTCTAAGCCCAACGTTTGACCTCCACTAGTTTTTAAGCCCAGCTACTACCGGAAAAGAGCCGATTGAATTATTTCAAATCCATTTTTTTCAGCGTCTTGTGAATTGATTATGAGCTGTTGGCTTTTTTCCCTTTACTTTTAATTAATTTTGCGACTGTAATGATTGGTCAAAAGTAAAATAAAGGGCAAAAAATTAGAGGAATGAAAATATGGATTAGTCTTCCAAATCATCAAAATCGTTATTTAGTCCCCCCTAATTCATATAAGTTACTTTGAATTAGCTTTCGTGCGGAACATGTGCGTGATTTAGAGCATCTCCAACAGCTTCTCTAAAATTTTCTCCAAAATGGAGAAACAAAAGTCATATTCTCCAACTAATTTTTACACCAACTCCAACAGCTTCCCCATTTTGAAGAATCCCTTTTAACTCCAACAGCTTCCCCATTTTGAAGAATCCCTTTTTTCCTCCAAAAATTTGGAGAATGCTGCAGATTTGGGGAAGCTTCCCCATTTTTTCTCCTCCATCCCTATTTTGGGGAATGAGATGGGAATCTGTTGGGCCAAAAACCTAACTAAATTCTCCAAAAATAGGAAATGGGGAAGCTGTTGGAGATGCTCTTAGAGAGAACACCACTAAATTTAACTTTTTGACTCGGTTTCAGTTATATCACTTTCCACAAATTTAGTGCAAATCAAATCCGTTTAACACCCAAATCCAATCCCTCTTTTTCTTCACTAGGGGAGAGGAAATGTTTGTGGTCTTGGGATAATCACTATCCAACCAGAGTTAATTAAGAAATTGGAATGAAAACTAAATAATCTGTAATTGACCTATGCGATTTCGGGGACTGAATAGAAATTAGGGGTGCATTCGGTTCGGATACGGTTCAGATATGACACTCATCATAACCATAACCACTTTCTGAAAACGGATACGGATACGATTCAGATATTCATCAGTAAAAAAAAACATTACTATATCCACATTAAACGGATATGGTTGGGATATTAGAGAGTTGGATACGGATATGATACGGATACTAATCGGATATTTGAGAAAACATTAGGAGCCGTTTCAGAAAGTGGTTATGGTTATGATAAATATCATATCCGAATCATATCCGAACCGAATGCACCCGTATATGTTACGCATAATGATGCTCTCAAACAAAACCATTTCCCTCCCTTACTTGTTTGTGCACTCATGATAGCAATACAATGATTTTGATGCTCTCAAACAAAACCATTTCCCTCCCTTACTTGTTTGTGCACTCATGATAGCAATACAATGATTTTAAAAACATGAAAGGTTTGAGGGAGACTCCCTTACTTGTTTGTGCACTCATGATAGCAATACAATGATTTTAAAAACATGAAAGGTTTGAGGGAGAAATATCTTAAAATAAAAAAAAAATTCATGTCAGAAAGAAATCCAATTGTTTCTCTCTCCAGATTTATGACAACGAGAAGCAGACAGGTAATTTCCTTTTGCAAATCTGGCCACGTCATTAGTTTATGCCATAAAAGCAGAACCTGACTGCAATACGAGGGCCAAGGAAGTCAACGATAAGAAAGAAAAGTGTTTGGTGCATTGATAAGAAAGAAAAGTGTTTAAAATTCTTAGCGTTAGAATTTTCAAAACTGATGATGACAAGGATTCATACGTGCTGAGCTGCAACTACACGCGCATTGGTAGTTTCATTATTTAAAATTGAGAGTGGGGAATCCTTTGGACAGGCCGGCACGCCAGAAGAGCATGATAAGCAATCATTTCTTATTTTAGAACTCCTTTTAAAAAAAAATTTAAATGCCGCGTCCTGACCGCGTATGCTATATGACAAGGGGTTCATTTGTACTCATCTGCAACTTGCGTTCACGTCGGTAATTTCGTTATACTAGCATTCTCATACGGGCACTTTATCGAACAGTTAAAGTGCAATTGAAACCAAGAGACAAGTTATCCATCACCTCGAGGGCGTGTGGGGGTCATCAAAGCTGAGGGACCAAACGAAAAAGTTGTTTGGCTCGCGCTTTAACGCGCAACAACGCGCACACAGACAGGAGGGTGGGCCCACTGTGTCAGTGGGCCCACCCCCTGTATCTGTGCGCGTTGGCTCGCGCGTTTAAAGCGGCGAGCCTACTCGGGACCAAACTATGGTGTACGGGCGTTCACCCTCAAGTTTCACCTCTTGAGCAAGATGTCGCTTTTGGAAGGACAAGGTGAAAGATCCATTCATCATTTTTATACTCATATGATTGACATTTGGCAACAACTTGCAACTCTTGATCCTAATATAATGGATCTAGAATCAGTCAAAACTTTGACTTTATATGGGGACCGACAGCATCCATTTCAATGCCTCATGCAACTTCGTTGTGAGGGGTTGTTTGGTTGGTTTCCTAAAATCAAAGAAAATGAAATAGGACATCGGAAACCATTAAAAGTTGATTTCCATCCATTTCCATTCTTAAAAATCAAAGATTGATTGTAATTGTGAAAACTTCTGTGATTTCGCACGTCATCACCTTATCAGCAGAACAATTTCCTTAGCTTAGATTAGCTCTCGAATGCAGCTGGCTGATTTCATTACTAAATCTCAGATCCTCCAACGTCATCTCTTTTGCATAAGCAAACTCTTGTTGGTTGGTCCACCATGATTTTTTTTGGGCTCCCAAATATTTTAACTTTTTTAGCGAAAGCCCCCTAAAAAGTGTTTTTGCATTTGGTGGACCTTCTCCTATTCTCCTTACTTTTTAGGAGGCCTTGTTGTAAAATTTTAAAAGTTTTGGGTATTATTTGAGAATTTCTGGAGCTTTAAGGGGTTTGTCCGGAAAAGATTTGGGATTTAGTGGGGGGGAAAAGTTCAGTGGTCTTTGACTCTTTGTGGCAAACGGAATATGGAAAGCCTGCTTTACTGTATGGTGTGATATATGAGATATTAATTTGATCGGGAGGTGTTGAAATCCAGAGGGTGGATGTCCTTCTTTAGTCTGAATTTGCAAAGAGCAATATGAAATAAGATTTTGGGTCAATGTGGGCGAGCTCTTGTGTTTCCCCCCTCTCTAACAGAAGCAATTAATGCGTGTATGTTTAATGGCTTTATCTGTTGTTGTTATCTGATTCATATGAATTGAACAGAATGACATAATTTTTAATGGAAGATATCCAATCCACATTCATATGAATTGAACAGAATGACATAATTTTTAATGGAAGATATCCAATCCACAGACCATTATTAATAAAGTTTGGGGAATTTGCATGCATGGCTAATTTTTAATGGAAGATATCCAATCCACAGACCATTATTAATAAAGTTTGGGGAATTTGCATGCATGGCTCACTTGGTCCGGTGATTGGAAAATCTACGTCCTTAATGAACACATACCTTGAAGCTATAAGGAATCAATTTACGTGAGATCAGGGGTAACTGGTTCTTGTTTGAAAGACTAACACTAACAAAACATTGTCTACCACATAACGAACGCATACCTTGAAGCCAACCGGAATCAATTTACACAAGATCAGAAGTAATTTGTTCATGTTTTAAAGACAAAAACCAAAATGTAACCTCAATTTTACTTTATAAATTAAGTCACAGCCCTGTAATTTATATAGTCATGCCTTTTAGATTACTAATTTGGCGGAGTTCAGAAATCTCATAAGTCATAGTTTGACACCACAATACTGTTTTTATTGTCGACTCGTTAACAATCTTCCTTGAACCTGCACTTGAATACTCAGTAGGAAGCACAATACCAATAATCGATGTTCCCTTTTATAATTAGATCATAAATCTCATCATAATTTCCAGATCACTATAAAATTAGACTGAACATTCCATGGTTAACGGCTCAGCTTGATAAGAGAAGGAAATTCTTCTATGAATAAATTGATATTTATTGTCATCAATTTGAATATACATACTTGCATGTCCATGTGTTCCCTTAGCAAGTCATCCTCTTCTGAAGCCCATGTACCGTCACCCATTACAAATGTTCTGTGCTGAATCAATGGCTTTCTGCAAAACTGCTGAATCTCTAATATAGCACCAGTTTTCACCGGTTCTCAACCTACCATTCAAGTGACGAACCACTGCGAATAGGCCAAGAATCTGAATATAGTGGCTCACTAGTGATCTTGTACTGCTCCAACTCCGATAGAAGAATTAGCTACCCGTAAGGAGAGAAAGAGAACTTTGATTTAGAAAATGATGGGCTATTGTTAACCATGATTGTAAAATATCAATAAAAGGTGACCAAGAAAGCCACCGAATTAGGCATCAACTGCACCAGCAATATTCTGCGTGCTCAGAATATCCACTAAAGGAAAGGACATAGTGGTAGACGAAGGCCAAATCTGTTTGGGGGTGAAAGTGAGTGAAAAGTTTAATGCACATCATTCTGGAGACATACTAATAGATAGTTTCTTCAGAAGAGATAAATAGAAAACCGATAAATATTTTTAGCACTTGCATGCATCAATGGTTATAACACATGCCAAACATAATGCAGAGAATGGATACCAACCTGTTTGACTGAGATCTACTAAACCAGGTAAGTGAATTTCAGAGATAAAATATCAACTTTTATGAAAGAACCCTCAACCATCAACAATGTTTTACTTGAAACTATTAACTCACCAATAAAAACTCGCATGAGGAATCAGTTGGTCACATTATTATGATTTGCCCGTGGTCATAATAAAACAGATCTAACTCTCAATAACATAAAAAAACCTGGCACAATCTCAAGGACCAAATACTGCATCGATCTCAAGGAGCAACAGAAAAGAAACAGAAAAGAGTGCATCAAGAATCAGGATGGTTGATAGCATGGTCAACTCACATTAAAAACCAATCAGCACCATTGTTCTCCTGGCACCGCTCCTTCAACATCTCGTTGCAGTTTGAGATCCACAGCATTCGTAGAGACGAAGGCAGCTGTGGCAATGACTGAAGCTCATAAGCTCTCGTAAGTCGTA